CCGTCCCGTTCATCTCTTGCGTTCTTGTTCCGTCCGTGTGACTGCATGCATCCCTCTCGTCCTTACAGGAAGTTGGATAAGCGAGTCTAGGTTAGGCAGTTTCTAGGGTGATTGTGAAATGAGGGGAACGGTTGGAGCTGGAGAGAACGGGGTGACATGTGCGATCAAGATGTGGGGAGTTTTGGGCGAATATATGGGGAGATTCTGGAGAAATGGTGGATGGTTGAAATCTATTCTTCCTTTCTCGTCCTTCTCCTCTCCGTTGATAAGCGTTGACGACGCGGCGTCAGCAACAGTCCTCCTTCTCGATTTCCAGCCGATCCTCGTCGCCATCGTCATCGTCGTCGGCGCTAGCGCAGTCTGCATGGCTCCCATCTCATCACCAGAACTCGCTCTTTCCGTCCCTCTCTCGCTCTCCGTCATCCTTCCTCTGTTTCGTTGCTGGCCCGTAGATCGATATAGTGTTTCGGCTACACTAGCTCTCTCCCATCTCATCATCGGAACTGGGAGAGAAGGACGGAAAGAGCTTCTCTCGCTCTCCGTCATCCTTCCTCTGTTTCGTTGCTGGCCCGTATCGATATGAAGTACAACTTGCGTTATGTCCACAAAGGAATACCCAGATTTTGGACTGTCGACGGCACCAAAATGTAACGTTGGAATGAGCGTTGATGTCGAAATGATGAAGATATAAAGTCAAACTTGTTGTAGTAACCAGAATAAACTTTATTAGCTTGTACACTGTAGCCACATCGCACAAAGAGACAAAGACCGCGCATACGCGCAACGCGCGTGTGCCCAGCTCCGCGGCCGCCACCCGAATCTCCCCATCAATCCCCCTTCCTATTACATATCTCTCCCTATATATCCCCCAAAACTCCCTACATCCTGCCCGCACATGTACCCGTTCTCAGAGACTACGTCCTACCCCAATTTCACACTGACTCTCGAAACTGTCTAACCTAACCACGTCCTGCCATTCTCCCTAATACATCAATGTAGCCGCCCATCTGGTCGAGCGACGCTGTCTAGCTGGAATATGGCTAAAACAGCTACCCGTCTAGCTCCACTGACTAATTCATGTAAGCTACTACTGCTGCTGCTGCTGCTACTACTGCTGCTGCTGCTGCTGCTGCTGCTGCTGTTGCTGCTACTACTGCTGCTGCTGCTGTTGCTGCTACTGCTGCTATTGCTGCTGCTGCTACTGCTGCTACTACTGGTGCTACTGCTGCTACTGCTGCTACTGCTGCTACTGCTGCTACTGCTGCTACTGCTGCTACTGCTGCTACTGCTGCTACTGATGCTGCTGCTGCTACTGCTGCTGCTAGCAGCAGCAGCAGCAGTAGCAGCTAGAGCCGGACTCTACCCAGCTATTCCCTACTTACTTTGCAACCCACTTACAGTCAGGCACATTCTGAAGACTGAATTTACGAATATTTGAGTCACAGACGTTCTCTTGTCGCCGCAGGACGCGGGATTGCTCGTGCTCACCGACGCCCTCATCTACAAGGACTCGCCCGACTACTACGACTGTAAGTATGGCGGACATCACAACATCTCGTGAGATCTCGCACACGTGCCCGGCAGCGAATCGCTAACGTTGGCACGCAGCAGCAGTAGCCATAGTCTCTGGGGGACAGCTGTGCCCGCCTAGATTTTGAAGAGAAATAAAATACTCTAGTACAAATACAGAAGCATTATGCACAGGTAGAAGTAATAAATGTTAATTCATCAGGGTGTCGCGCGCAGGAATTATCCCCCTTCTTCTCTAGCAGCGTCTCTTGTCATTGGTCGCCGTGACGACGCGACGCTGACGCGAGTCTGCTTGTAGACGCGATACCAGGCATGTTCGCGCCGATGGAGCGCGGCCGCATGTTGGACGACGCCGGCGACGTCACGCTCTTCAACGCACCGGTGGCGCCCCCTCCCGAGCTGGCGGAGGCAGAGCGCGTGCGCAGCGTGTTTCCCGAGACCTGGCTGTGGATGAACGTCACGACTCCGAGGTGAGCGGGGTCGAAGGTCGCGCGAAGGTCAGAGGTCACGCCGGAGGTTAAACGTGCGTGGGTCTCGCTGCTGGTTCTAGGTCCGAACTGTGAGATGGAGATGTTTGCGGTGGCGCGCGCCGACGGTGGCGCCCCTCGACGCAACGTGAAGATGAAGTCGGCGGTGGCGGACGACGGTGGCGCCACCACGGTAGAGACGGAGGAGGGTGCCCACGTTAGAAAACTGTTCCCAGAGACGTGGCTGTGGGTCAACGCGTCGACGCCGAGGTAGGTGGCAGCACCGGCCGCCCGCGCAGCGCCGTGTTGCATCGCATATTGTCGTGGCCATTGCTGAGCGTTCTTCTCACTTCTTCTTTCTGTGTTTCAGCTATTTGTGATTTATTTCAGCTATTTGTTCTATTTTTTCAGCTATTTGTTCTTTTATTTCAGCTATTTGTTCTATTTTTTCAGCTATTTGTTCTTTTATTTAAGCTATTTGTGATTTATTTCAGCGGACTGCATTGCATCTGAGAGAACCAAGGATTTTTTGGTTCTGCATGTTTTTGTCTCGGTGTTTCAGTCCTTCTCTCCTGCCTGTCATTTGGTTTGTCGATGGCATCACTTAACTCTTCTGTCGTCTCTGACGTGTGTTTGCCGCAGCCTCCACTTTGTAGACGGTCGTAGTAACAGGGCTATCTTGGTATTACTAGCACTATTACTGTCGTGTTCTCTTACATGCAGTTACTACATGCGTGTGTGTGCCATAATTGACCTATCTGCCTCGCAACAGAACATTCTAAAAACAATTCTTAGCATCGTAGTGTTGCAAAGTCGACATTTTTAGGGTTGTTGGTGTGATAACGTGTATAAATTTGACGAGATTGTAAGTGAGGTGTAGCATCGATATCCGATTATGGTTTTTTGTGTTGTCTCGTTCGTCGTGACGATTGACGACGAGTGGCGTGAAACATTCGCGAATGACGTCGTGCATTCTCGTTTGTTTCCGTAGCGACAGCGGCACGACGACGGTGATGGCGACCGTGCCGGACACGATCACGTCGTGGCTCGCTAGCGCCATCTCTATGAACGAAAAGCACGGCCTCGGCATCACGGAACACACGACAACGGTACTGCCACCTGCTGTGCATCATGTTAACGTAGCGCGTCGCTCGATCGAAGATCTTCCATTTCACGATGCAATCCTTGACGTTATTAAGATGTAATTTAATTAATATGCATTATAATAGTTGCTGTTTCACAAAACAAAATAAGTCTTACGAATCCATCTTATATGTCTGTGCTGCAATGATAGATCATTGTTGTTATTTGTGGAGCAAGTACTAATGACCTTCACTGACCTTCACTGACTTATACTGACATTCACTTGCCTTTACTAACTACCACTGACATTTAAGTTACTTTACTACTGACCTTGACTGATCTTTACTGGCCTTTAATTACTGACTTTCACGGACCTTTACCATACTTCACTGATCCTCCCTGACCTTTACTGACCTTCACTGACATTTAACCTACTTTACTGACGTTCACTGATCTCTTGTTTTCAGCTGACGGCATTCCAGCCGTTCTTCGTCTCGCTGACGCTTCCATACTCGGTCCTGCGAGGAGAGGTGCTTGTTCTGCAGGCAACCGTCTTCAACTACATGAATGCAGACACTCAGGTGCGCCGATGTAATTTACATTTTACATGCTTTTTCATGTTTTGTATAATTGTAATAATATAATTTAAAAAAAAATTATTATATTATTTAAAAAAATTATTAAAAATAATTATTAAAAATAATATTAATAAAATAATGTGATCGCCCCTGTATGAACGTGACGGCAAGATGGCCGCCGCGGCTGACTCGCGTGTTTCATGTGCAGGTCGAGGTAACGCTGGATCATAGCGACGACTTTGAGAATGTTCCGGAGGAGGCTGAATCGGATGCTGACGCGGCTCAGGTGAAGAGGGGACAGGTACGTAGCAAGCTGCTTCCTCTCTCTCACTGTCTCTCACTGTCTCTCACCGGGAGACGGGCGGGCATGGATGCATGCGTGGATGTATGGGGGCGGGCGTGCGTGGATGCATGCGTGGATGTATGGGGGCGGGCGTGCGTGGATGTATGGGGGCGGGCGTGAGTGGATGCATGCGTGGATGTATGGGGGCGGGCATGCGTGGATGCATGCGTGGATGTATGGGGGCGGGCGAGTGTGGATGCATGCGTGGATGTATGGGGGCGGGCGTGCGTGGATGCATGCGTGGATGTATGGGGGCGGGCGTGCGTGGATGCATGCGTGGATGTATGGGGGCGGGCGATCCTTCACCAGAGCTGTGTTGTTGAGAGAGGATGATTACAACCATACATAAATATATATAATTATTCAATTATTGTTATCCAGAACTAATGAACCATATATTTTTGTTTCAGGTGAGCCTGGGCGCCCCGCGTTTCACATACACCTCGCAGCAAGACCCGAACATGCCCATTGTATTCGAGCATCTGATGCCGCAAACCAGGCAGCACATCAGCAGCAGCAGCACAGCACTCCAACCTCAGTCGCCAGTGTGGCGCTACCCCCAACCCCGGCCAGAGCGGCCACAGGAGACTCCTCGCTCAACATCAGCTCCCTACTTAAACAACATGGGCGCCTCCCCATACTCGCCGGATAACCCGCTGGATAAAGAGAGGGACATAGATTAGTAGACAAAATCTCAGTGCATACACAGACAGTAGTTTTTACTTCCGCGAACTCTCAGTGTATTACTATTTTTGCATTTGTTTTTTATTATGTTTGATATGTTTGATATTGATGTTTGATGTTGATGTTGATCTTGATGTTTTTATATGTTTGATATTTATTATGTTTGAATATGTTATAATGTGTTTATTATGTGTGAATATAATTTTGTTTTTATTATGTTTGATATTTTTGATATTGATGTTTGATGTTGATGTTGATCTTGATGTTTTTATATGTTTGATATTTATTATGTTTGAATATGTTATAATGTGTTTATTATGTGTGAAATATAATTTTTCCTCTTATCACTTGTTTGTTATTTCGGTTCTCTTTGTGTGACAAGTTTATATGCATCATAGTTTATAGGAATCATTATCAATAGGCATTGTTGATAATGATTCTTCATAAAAGAAAGACATCAGGCGTTTTTTTCAAAAATTCAACATTTTATTGAATACATGTTATATTCTATATTCAAATATGTTAAGTCCAGAGTTTACAAGTTATAAAAGAGCACAGTTCACAAGTGTTCAGATAATAGCATCCTGCCATGGGAGCCTTCCTTGTCACTATTGTAAAAGTTTTTCAGATAAAACGCGGATTTGTTTCCCTTCTTTGGTGACTTGGGGCCCGGTCACCTGGTTGACCTCGTCCATGGCGTTTTGCGCCAGGCTCCCGGAATGACATTTCCATGTCCATCCTCCTGGTCAAGGTCGGCAGCGTGGAGGCCGGGATAGCGATCACGCATCAGGTTATGTAGCACTAGGCATCCAGAGGTGATCTTCTGTGCACGTCTGGGCGTCAGTTGGATGGTGGTGAGGAGGACGCGCCAGCGGTGAGCCAGGATTCCAAAGGCATTCTCCACGACGCGGCGGGCCCTCGAGGTTCGGTAGTTGAATATGCGCTCGTCATGGTCGAGCACCCTTCCCGCCGACGCTTCATCATCCAGGGGCGCAGCGGGTGAATGGTCGTCCCCCACCAGGAAGTATGAGGATAGTTGTGTCATCACCAGGAAAGGGTTCGAGGGCCGCTCAGGGAAGCCAAGGTTCCTCCTTCTCTTCCAGTCGTCTCTCAGCGGGCCACTGCTGAGAATGCCGGCGTCCGATGCAGGACCCCTCTTGCGCCAACGTCTGCCCACAGGGAACTTGTAGTTGCCGTCAACCACTCCTAGCAGGACTATGGAGAAGTACCCCTTGTAATTGTAGTACTTGGTGCCGGTGTTCTTAGGTGCCTTGATGGCCACATGTTTGCCATCGATGGCTCCACAGCAATGGCTCATAATTCCGACCGGACTCGGAATCGGCTCTGCCACTGGCGCCATCCATCAGATGTGGTGGGGGTCTGATCGTCTCGCCAAAACGTTCTCATCAACGATGGCCTGGGCAACCTCCGGAACAAACCCTGAGATGGTGTTGTGGGGGACACGGAAAGGAGTAATGCCAGGCTGCGATAACTGTTTCCCTGTAGCCACTATAGCGCAGAGTGGATGGCCAGATTAGCCCAGGCTCAAGAGGGTCCGGGCACGCCTAGCAGTTGGGCCCTTTGGTGATGCGAGGGGCGACACGCAGCAACAGCTCCTGAAACATGGCCCACACTCCATCCGCATGACCCATTTCAGAGTACTATTACTGCCTAAACATCAGGCCGCCGCTCGATCACGGACGAATCCCACCAACGTCGGGGTTTCGCCGGTTCCATGCGCTGCTCCGCGCCCGGATCACAGCCCAACAGCGTATATTATCGTCGTGCTGCGAGTTCACTCCAGACGCCCCCTCAACAAGGCTACGCATAGTCGCCTCAGGTGGAAGGCCATCCTCTTCAGCGCCGGACAGGTAGTCTTTTAATTACAAGCGTTCATTCGCCCAGCTATATACCCCTCAAAAACGAAAAATATGTGCCAAGACTTAACGCAAAGACTAACGCACGAAGACTTGCCAATGTTGTGCGAGCCTCTTACGAAATATAATATATAATTAAATATCTGCAAACGTCTCACGTACTGTCCTGCGACAGCCGTGAGGCATTGCTAGGACAGTCGGTGCGCAATAGTCGTAGATTGTTTGACTAAAAAAATTCTTCTGGTACTCACGAAAGATATTTAATCCGCACGACCAAGTCGCAAAGGGACTGTCGCAAGACTGTTGTAGGACAGACTCACGACAACGCCAGAAGACATAGATACCACAAAAATCGTGCAACGAAAAATAGGATGGCATGTTCAATTTTTGCCCTCACGACGGCAAGTCGATGCCCGATGCTCAAAATTTCGTAGACGTCTGTGCGGTACGACCCCGATGAACCCACGATTTGCCCAAATTTTCTGTGCGTCGTCGTTGCACAAACTGCGTCGTGGGCCTCGTTGTGACCGGGGCTACAGCAGTAACAACTTATACACCCAATCTCAAACTATGTGGGGTCAACGGTTCCCTGGTTAATCGTTGACGAAACCAAAATAGTTGACGGAAACGACTTTAATACGAAACGACGTACGACGGACGACGACCCACGGACAATAGACTTCAGTCTGACGATGTCAAGGTAAGCCTAAAAATGTGGGGGGCTCATGGAAACAACTCAGACCTGAAAATGGGGCGTCTCATGGAACTAATGTTTTAGTTGGAATGTGTATGCTCGTGGAATTGGCTATGTTCGAAAATGGGGTCTCCCGGAACTAGGATTTCGTTGAAATTCAATGCGTATGACAACTGACCACGTTTAAAAGAGGGGTCTCTGGGTAACTGGTGGGTGGGACAGTGATATTGCTTTAACAATCTATGCTGTAGCCTGGAAACCAACAAATTAATTATTGTTGTATTACGTTAGAGGAAAGGAGAAAGTAAGAAAAAAACATGACCCGGAGGAGCAGAGAAAATGAACGCCACGCACACGCACGCAACGCACGCCACGCACGCACGCACGCAACGCACGGCACGCACGCGACGCACGCACGCACGCACACACACACGTGTGCCATGCCTGACGGCCAGGCTCACGATACTTCTGAAGTACGATGCACTGGAACGGAAATACTAAAAACTTATAGGGTCTCCGAAGACAAAAATGTAAGAATCTGCCATAGTAACTAAACTTAAATGCCTCTGGAACGAGATATTCTTAAAAGCGATAGCACTGGAACGGAGATGTCTTACTGCTTAGGGTGAAATGGCGGTCTCATCCGCAGGCACATAACTACACATACAAATATAATAATGGAGTGGCCCCCCCCCCCGACCCAGCACGACCACAGTTAAGACCATCATTATTGGTTTCTATGTCATTGTGCATCCTGAGATATGTTGAGTGACGAAGGGTAGGATGAACAAGATGTAATTTCAGAATTGGAATTCGCCCATAAGGCCAGAAAAGCATAAAATTGCGAATAATAAAAAATAAAATGACAAAGTATCGGACTGGACTTTCTGTGATTACTATTAATAGCTGATGCAATTAGAAGTGTATATCGTGCCCTCTAAGATTTGGAATGTGTATCTTAATGATGACAATGCTGCCTATTCAAATTCAAACTTTCAAAACATAACAGATGTACATAGTGAAAGCTATAAATTGCAAGATTGAAAATAGGACTTTATTTTCATTAATTATTACTGATGAGTATATACAATTTTGTAATAATGTTTTATTAGTTATCATACTCATAATATATATTTTAGATACTTTAGTCAAAACAATCAGCTTTAGCTACAATTCCTCTTTGCAAATTTACAAATGACCTTTTAAAATGATCAGAATGGTTCTTCAACACATAGCCTGAAAATGCCAGGAAATGCCATTCAGGCTCTACTTGCAAAATTGTTCCCTCGGGCGGACCAGTATCCCCCGACCCCCCCCCGCATCAGCCTACATATCATTCCTTGCAGTGGCACTTTTGGGAGGCCACTATGGCCCTGGCACACCCTACCTTGACTAGGAGGATATCTCTCAGCCTACCTTGACTAGGAGGGATATCTCACAGCCTACCTTGACTAGGAGGGATATCTGCACGGCGTCCCCACGTTTGGCACCCTGTATTTTTTTTCACCCCCCGCCCCTTCTGCTCGCTCGCACTCACGCACTCCGCTCTCGCCCAACGCTTACGACTCGCACGCGCATCCCGAGGAAGTTGAATGTCAACGCCTCGTCCGCAGGCAACCTGAAGCCATGTGAAGACAAACATGCATCGAATGACATCCATAATACAATACATTCCATTCCATGTATCTTGTTCGTCCGTCTTGTCTATTCGTCTATTCGTCGTCTGTCTTATTCGTCTATTCAGTTCCGTCGAGTGCGCGTCCGGTACGCTCCATCCAGTCCAGGTCCATCATTTTTTCCAGTGCGGAGGCACGGCCCGCCCCCATACCATCCCCACGCATGCATCAACGCACGGCCGTGCACCCCCAATATATCCCCACCTGCATGCATCCCACGTCCGGCCCGCCCATACATTCAAGCACTCGCATCCACGCACGCGCCGCCCGCCTCACTCCACGCATCGCATCCACGCACGCCCGCCCATAACTCCCCACGCACGCCGCCACCCCCCATCACATCCACGCACTGCACCAGCACGCTGCCCCATGACACCCCACGCATGCATGCCCACTCACGCCAGGCCCCGAATCATCCACGCCGCCCCCCCCCAACATCCACCACTTTGCATCACGCACGCCAGCGCCCCCCCATACATCACGCATGCACTCACGCACCGCCGCCATATATCCACGCATGCATCCACGCCTCGCCCGCCCAATACCATGCCACGCCGATGCCATCCCACCACACGGCCGCCCCCATACCATCCACGCATTGCATCCACCACCCACACGCCGCCCCCAGTACCATCCACGACATTGGCACTCCACGACGCCCGCCCCACTTACATCCACGCATCGCATCACGCACGCCCGCCCCAACACTCCCACGCATGCATCCACAACTCGCCCGCCCATACCACTCCCACGCATGAATCCACGCATGCCCGCCCCCCATACCTCCACGCATCGCATCACTTCACGCCCGCCCCCATACCATCCACGCACGGCCCGCCCCAACATCCACGCCGACGCCCGCCCCCATACATCCACGCAGCATCACGCCACGCCGCCCCATACATCCACGCATGCATCCACGCCCACGCCGCCCCCATACATACCACGCATGCATCACGCACGCCCGCCCCCATACATCACGCAATGCATCCCACGCACGCCCGCCCCCATACATCCACGCATGCATCCAACGCACGCCGCCCCCCATATATCCACGCATGCATCCCGCCGCGCCCCGCCCCATACTGTCCAGCATGCGATCCCACTGTGCACGCCCGGCCCCCATACATCACCGCGATGCATCCACGCACGCCCCGGGGCCCCATACTCATTCCGAGCGCATGCAAATCCACGCGACGGGCCGCGCCAGGTATATCTCGGGCTGCGATCACGGCTCGCGCGCGCCCCCATACATCCAGCATGCATCACGCACGCCCGGCCCCACAGACATCCACGCATACATGCCACGCGACGCCCGGCCCAATACATCCACGCATGCCGATCCACAACACACTCCCGCCCCATACATCCACGCATGCATCCACGCTCGGCCGCGCGCCCCATACGATCCACGGCATGCATCCACGCCGCGCCGGGCCCCCACTACCCATCCACGCCCATGCACCCACGCCTACGCCGCCCCAATACATCCCCAACGCATGCATCCACACACGCCCCCCCATACATCCACGCATGCATACCACGCTCGCCGCCCACATACATCCACTGCATGCACACGTCGGCTTTATACGCCCCCATTACAATCGCCGCACCGCATCCCACGCGACGGCACCGCCCCCCCATCACACCACGCATGCATCCACGCCCACGAGCCCCCATACATCCCGCATGCATCCCACACGCCCGCCCCCATTCACATCCAAGCATGCAATCCAGCCACAGCCCAGCACACTCACATCCAGCATGCATCCCACGCACGCCCCGCCGCCATACATCCACGCATGCATCCACGCACCGCGCGCGCCCCATTACAATCCACGCATGCATGCCACATCACGCCGGCCCCATACATCCCATAGCATGCATCACGCTCGGCCCTCCCCCATATGATCACGCATGCATCCACGCACGCCAGCCCCATACATCCACGCATGCATCCACACACGCCCCGCTCCCCATTCATCCAAGCATGCATACTAACGCACGCTGCCGCCCCTCATACATCCACGTCACGCCCGCCCCCATACTATCCACGCTATGCTGATCACGCTCGCCCGCCCTCTATTACATCAGCATGCATCCACACAGCGCC